CTGCAGACCTGTCAAGTAGACAGACCTGAGGAATAGGCAAGTCCTCAAAAAGCATTAGCCTTTTGGAAGTCCAGGGTTCCCATTGCGGACAGTTACTTAGTGTGGATTGAACAGTGCTATTCTGTCATGATGTGCCTTTTGCATTATTGTCATCTGTGAGTACAATACCTACCGTTATTCTTTTCAATAAGTGCTTTTTAAGGTAATGCACTAGGCCGGTGTGCCCTCTGTTTGTTTGTTTTCTCTGTATCCAGTGCATTGGACTTCCCCGGTCCTTTGAGGACAGCAAGGCGTGCACGTTCCAGGACATCTGAGATGTGGTTATAGCCTATGTTGAGTCCATCCCCAAGCATAGGAGTATTTGTGTTTGCCATACTGGCAATATGCACTGAGGGCAAGGCATACTGAAGCTACACTCCTATATTTTAAGGAATTTGGGCTGATAATCAATGGGGATGCTAGAAATCTTTTCATTGATCATCATCGTGGACATACAGGGATTACTTTGACGCATCTGGCCAGATAAGCATGAATTGCAAATTGTGTGAACTAAATATCCCTATTTTTTATTGCAAAATTTGCTGGAAAGGGTATATAGCAGTGTGCAGAGGGTTCCTTCCTAATTCATGTCCTTTGAATGAATGAACTACAAGTCCTGACAGTCTTAGTGGCTGTCGACTTGTAGTCCTGAATGAACTACCACGGTGCTGTATCGGCTTCGCAGTACGAGATGTACAAGCAAGCAGATACACTGACAGTTTTGCAGGAGACCCGCATGGCATCAGCGATCTACTGATCGCTGGTGCAATGCTTTACAAGCTCCTAACCAGGAGCAGATTGACAACTCATGGGGCCCCCCCGGGCAATAGGGGATTATGGGGCCCCTGTGTCCTTGCCCAAACTCAGCAGGTTAAAAAAAGCCTATGTCACCACATCTTAAAAAGGTACCAGGGGTATCTCATGGGGCCCCCTACTGAGTCAAGCAACCCGGGCCCTCGGGCAGTGCCGAGGTTTCCAAATGGTCAGTCCGTCCACCCCGGCTCCTAAACACAAAAAATAATAAATGCACATTTTTTTTCCCTTCGAAAAAATGTGCATTTAATATTTTTTGTGGAAAGGTGAACTTCTCCTTTAATAAGGAAACAGAATACAGAAATGTTATGATCCTTCCCAACTCTGTCCAAAACAAAAACAAATTTGGCTGTGGTTTGGCTTTAAGACAGCTCATCCATTAATCATAGCGTGACACGCGAACCAATGAGTGGTCAGCTGGAACTCATATCTCCACGGTTCATTGTTATCCTTGGTACTCATCTGGTTCATAAAGCACTGTGATCGACGCAGTCATTTTGTAGAGGCAAAACTGGGGAAAGCAGAATGTAAAAAAAACGAAAAAAAAACGAATAAACTCACCTTATAATGTTTTATTTTTGTAAGGACGTCATGTAGAAACACATTATAAATGCATCTCCCATGTTTGCCCTTCGTTTGCAAATTGTTTCCATAAACAGCAAGACAAAGATTAAAAACAATGGAAAGCAACAGCTTAGAAGAGGCTTCAAATGCTTTGTGCAGTGCAAGTCAAATTATAACGAAAAAAGAGAATAAAAGACCCCAGTAAAAGAAAAAAATAGCAGTTTAGAGTTTAATTACTATTTAGTGTTTTAATAGGATTGTATGATTTATTATAGTATAGTATTCATTTTGTTTTACTTGGTATTGATTTGCTGTTATTGGTAGTTTTATTGTTGTTTGTGGCTTGTTTTTGTTCGTTATTGTGATTTTGTGTTGTCTTTCTTCAATGTAACCGTATCTTATTAATTCCTTTGGGATAAAAAAAATATTCTGAATATGAATCTGAAAAATCTAGCTGAATACAGGTGGGAGCACAAAGAAGAGTGTAAATCATCACTGCAATCTACAAAACGCAAGCAAAGTTCACTAAATAAGCTACACTTATTATTCGCTATTCGCTATTCACTCTCCCTGTCCTCTCACCATTGTGCGAGCACACCGGCACTATGGCTGCTCTCAGTCTCCCTTTTTCAGTATTCAGCTCCCACATCTTATTGACTGTTATGAGACTCCATACAAGGTCTAAGGGAGTGTGTAGGTCAACATGGATCAGTGCCAAAATTCAACTGCCATGAACTAAATTAATCTTTTAATTTAAATTCAAATCCTAGAAATCTGGGTTAAAGTGGTTGTACACCCTTATATATACTCAGTGAAGTGACTGGCCTCAGACGATACACCGAGTTTAACCACTTCCAGATCGGACACTTTTACTCCCTTCCTGACCAGTCCAATTTTCAGCTTTCAGCGCTATCACACTTTGAATGAATGACAATTGCGCAGTCATGCAACACTGTACCCAAATTAATTTTTTACCATTTTTTTGAGACAGATAAAGCTTTATTTTGGTGGTATTTATTCACCGCTAGGATTTTTATTTTTTTTGCTGTGTAAATGAAAAAGTCCAAAAATTTTGAACAAAAGTGTTTTTTTTTTATAAAATTTTGCAAATAAATAATATTTCATCATAAATCTTTGCCAAAATTTATTCCGTCATCTTTTTAGAAAAAAAAAAACAACAAATTATAATTTTTAAACATTTTTTTTTTACATTTTTATTTTATTTTTTTATATTATTGTTTTTTATTTTTATTTTTATTTTTTACATACTGTCACCCTAGCAGTACAGTGTCACCATGGTGACACTGTACTACTTGTGGGGGGGTGGTGATGATTTTTTTTTTTTTTTTTTTACACTGATTGCTTTTACACCCATATAGGATGTAAAAGCAATCATTTCTCTTTCTCTCTGTGTGCATTCCTGCACTCATTGAAAGTACTGAGTGAGCTGTGATTGGTCACAGCTTGTCACATGGTACAAGGCTGTTGTGAATAGCCTTGTACCATGTGACCTCTGTGATCATTCACAGATTTCACACGTAGTAAGCAATGATGTCACAAGTGACATCTTGCTTACTACTTTGCATGTGATCACTGATTGGCCAATCAGTGATCACATGATCGGGACCTCGTACAGAGGTCCTGTCCGACGATCAGTGTTTCACTGTGTCCAGAGGACACAGCGGGCACCAGATCGCGGGTGCTGCGCACTCCCAGGGAGCGTGCACAAGCAGGGTGCGGGGAGGCCATTTATAAACGGCCACCCGACCCTGCACTGCCACCGTCCGGCCGTTTATATGCAACGGCCGGTCGGGAAGTGGTTAAATAAATCTTCCTACATAAGTTGTACCTATTTATCTACAACCATCTCTCCCCTACCATCATTCAAGCTGCAGAATCTACCCAGGATCTCTCAGCTCTGAAAAGCAGGGGAGCTGAAGCTACACTCACTGAGGAGAGCTCTGAGAGCTGATTGGAGGGAAAAGACCCCCCCCCCTCCCTTCCACACAATTTACAGTAACAGAGCTGAGGCTGTCAATCACAGTCTGTGCCCTCCCCTGTCACCTTTATTTTCTTGGTGTCAGGAAAACTTGTCAGAAGTGACTTACGCTGGTAGCAGAGGAAGGAGGCAGCAAACAGAAATGACACTTAGTGCTCTTAATTAAGACAAGTATACACTATAGAGGGATATGTTTTGTTCATATTTAGTTTCTAAGGTTTACAACCACTTTAAATTTGGTCTGGTCCCAAATCCCAATCACATCCCTTCATGTATTGTAACACTGCATCAAGCATTTGCAGCTGCAAACCTGATTTCCTTATTTTTTTGGGTAACGTAATGACTTGTTACACACACGCTGACAAAACAAGTACCATCTGCAGGATCCAAAACCCTGCCATTATGGCTGATTGTGGCCATTGTAATGGTAAAAACTTTGGCACCTCCTGCTGAATACAAAGCTATCCCACCCCCTTCATGCCTCCCACACAATCCTATTGGCCATTGAGACAATAGGTATATTCTAAAAGAAGGTTGGAAACAAGGCATGTCATGTGTATAAAATCTTCAAATCCACCCAGGTAAGGGGAACCATGCACAAACGTTTCAGCCCGGGTGGGCTTTGTTATAACAAATGTACAAAAGAAACCGCTCAAATAAATGTAATAGGGATAGGGCAATAAAAATTCGTCAGAAGTAGGAAGGTGTGGGCAAAGTTTGATGTTCTGTATTGAAGCTTTGCCTGTCAGAATTACCTGGCATTGTGATATAAACATGTCGATGATCAGGGAGAAACTCTATAGCATAGTATAGTTTGAATATTAGCAATTCTGTTCGATGTGGCCCTTATTACTTACTAGCCCTGTGTGTGACTACTTCTAGTATATCCTAGCTCATCGGCTTTTATCAGAAAACAGGCTCAAAGCTTGCTCACTCTTCTGCTACCACACATTCCTGTAGTTCCTTCAACAGTTTCACTGTCCTATAGGAATATGAAGGTGTTAGGAAGAGGTGGTCGAACTTCAGCATGATGGGAAAGTGGTGAAGATATGCTTGTAGAACAGACTGAGAATTGGCCTGGCTAGATTTCCTCCTTCCCTTCCTTTCCCCAGTTTAACAGCCTGTAGAAATTTGCCCTTATATTTATTTTTTCACTTTAAGCATTGTGTTTAAAGATCTGTTTTAGTTGAAAGAAATATTTTTCAGACATGATAAAACAGAGGTAATATTGTTTCTGTGTTCATTTCCTATTGCAGGGGCTATGCGATGGCAAGTAGCAGTGACGATAGAATGAATGAGCCTCCAACCTCTTTAGGTTTAGTACCACACCAGGTAAAGGGTTTTTACTATATGTGAGAAATTACTGATTTACTGTAAACTTTGAACACTTTTTCATTTTTTTGGAATATCCTTATTGCCTTCCAGATTTCCTGGTAAGTATTGGCACATGTGACAAATTGAGTTCACTGCAAAATTACCCATTTGTCTTTGCCAAAATGTTATCCAAATTCTCGGGTAATTTTTCCAAGTGCTGTTGCTTACATGAAATTTTAAGAAAAGAAATAAAAAGATAAAATTCTGCCTGTAGCCTCCCTGACGGTATTCCCGAGTGTAGCTCCGGGTAAGGTTTCAGTACCAAAAGCGGTAACCCCGAGCTACACTCGGGCTTACCATGCGGCGCTGCTTCGGCAGCTGTTCTTTTCTTACCTTGTCCTGCGCTCCAACGATGTCCCTCCTGCAGTGTCCCCTGTAATGTACTCCGGTGGATGCCGGCATCTGTCATCTGGGTTCCGTCCCCTGCGAGCGTCGGGACGTACGGGGGACGGAACTGGTGGGAAATTTGAAAATGACAAAAAGTGACATTCACTAAATACACTAAAATCACATTGTAAAACATTACTGTATCAAACCATTTCACATACATTTTGTCCCGAGAGCTTTGTCCTGTGCCCTGCCTGCATTTTTACTGTTCTTTCTGCCTGGAAACTGAGAAACGTCCATGGCGTCAAAAAGGTGTCCCTTTAGGTCAGAAGCGGTTTTAGACCGGCTAGAGAACAGCGATAGTAAATCAGAACCACTTGCAGAATTGAGTGATAATGATTTCGTGGGGAAATTCGTCATCAGACACTGAAAACGATTTTGCGACTTTGCTCAGTGATGTGTGAACTTGGCGCTATATTTCAAATTTCAGTGTTTTTGGTTTGATTATATTATTGAATTAAATTTATTATTATATTATTTTTTATAATTATTTATTAAATTATAATTTATGATTTCGTGTTTCAAATTTTATCATACCCAGGATGTTTACTAGACTCTTGTTTGGACAGATTTCAGTGAGTTATTCCTAAAAATTACAGGCCTACAATAAAAAAAATACATACCGTATTTTCCGGCGTATAAGACGACTTTTTATCCCATGAAAATCTTCTGAAAAGTCGGGGGTCATCTTATACGCCGGTATACGGCGAGCCGGTGTCAGGGTGGCACTATTTCGAGGGGCGGCGCGGTGCCGCCCCCCCTCCTCCAACGGAAGGGACACTAAGTACAGGGGTGGGCAGGGGGCTGCTGTACCTTACCTGGCTCCGGTCCCGGTCCCACGACGATCCGGTCCAGGAAGCGCGGCTGCTCCTCCTTTCAGTTCAGCCGCTCGATGGTCGTGCGGCCCCTCGGCTCCGCCTCCTCACCGGTGATTGGGCGCCAGCACTGGATAGGCACACAGGTGACCAATCACCGGCGAGGAGGCAGAGCCGAGCGGCCCCGCGAAAATCGAGTTAGGGAGCGGCCAGTAAGTGTGCAGCAGCACCATGCTGTGACACTCTTGGCACTATTCCTCTCCCCCACTGACACTAACGATGGGGCACTATTCCTCCCCCACACTGACACCAACGATGGGCACTGTTCCTCCCCCACTGACACCAACGATGGGGCACTATTCCTCCTCCCACACTGACACCAATGATGGGGCACTATTCCTCCCCCACTCACACCAACGATGGGGCACTATTCCTCCTCCCCACTGACACCAATGATGGGGCACTATTCCTCCCCCACTGACACCAACGATGAGGCACTATTCCTCCTCCCACTGACACCAATGATGGGGCACTATTCCTCCTCCCCACTGACACCAATGATGGGGCACTATTCCCCCCCCCACTGACACCAATGATGGGGCACTATTCCCCCCCCCCCCCACTGACACCAATGATGGGGCACTATTCCCCCCCCCACTGACACCAATGATGGGGCACTATTCCCCCCCCCCACTGACACCAATGATGGGGCACTATTCCCCCCCCCCCACTGACACCAATGATGGTGCACGATTTTCCCCACTGATACCAATGATGGGGCACTTTCCCGCCACTGATACCAACGATGGGGCACTATTCCTTCCACTGACACCAACGATGGGGCGCAATTCCTGCCACTGATACCAATGATGGGGCGCTATTCCTCCCACTGACACCAATGATGGGGCACTATTCCTCCTCCCCACTGACACCAATGATGGGGCACTATTCCCCCCCCCCACTGACACCAATGATGGGGCACTATTCCCCCCCCCCCACTGATACCAATGATGGGGCGCTATTCCTCCCACTGATACCAATGATGGGGCGCTATTCCTCCCACTGACCAATGATGGGCTGCTATTCCTCCAACTGACACCAATGATGGGCTGCTATTCCTCCAACTGACACCAATGATAGGGCACTATTCCTCCCCCCCCACTGACACCAATGATGGGGCACTATTCCTCCCACTGACACCAAAGATGGGGCACTATTCCCCCCACTGATACCAATGATGGGGCGCAATTCCTGCCACTGATACCAATGATGGGGCGCTATTCCTCCCACTGACACCAATGATGGGGCGCTATTCCTCCCACTGACACCAATGATGGGGTGCTATTCCTCCCACTGACACCAATGATGGGACGCTATTCCTCCCACTGACACCAATGATAGGGCACTATTCCTCCCACTGACACCAAAGATGGGGCACTATTCCCCCCACTGATACCAATGATGGGGCGCAATTCCCCCCACTGATACCAATGATGGGGTGCAATTCCTGCCACTGATACCAATGATGGGGCGCTATTCCTCCCACTGACACCAATGATGGGGCGCTATTCCTCCCACTGACACCAATGATGGGGCGCTATTCCTCCCACTGACACCAATGATGGGGCGCTATTCCTCCCACTGACACCAATGATGGGGCACTATTCCTCCCACTGACACCAATGATAGGGCACTATTCCTCCCCCCCACTGACACCAATGATGGGGCACTATTCCCCCCCACTGATACCAAATGATGGGGCACTTTTCCTGCCACTGATACCAATGATGGGGCGCAATTCCTGCCACTGATACCAATGATGGGGCGCTTTTCCTCCCACTGACACCAATGATGGAGCACTATTCCTCCCACTGACACCAATGATGGAGCATTATTCCTCCCACTGACACTAATGATGGGACACTATTCCTCCCACTGACACCAATGATGGGGCACGATTCTTCCCACTGACACCAATGATGGGGCACTATTCCTCCCGCTGACTAATGATGGGGCACTATTCCTCACGCACTGACACTAATGATGGGGCACTATTCCTCACGCACTGACACTATTGATGGGGCACCATCATTGGTGTCAGTGGGAGGAATAGTGTCCCATCATTGGTATCAGTGGGAGGAATAGTGCCCCATCATTGGTGTCAGTGGATGAAATCATTCCCCATCATTGGTGTCAGTGGGAGGAGTAGTGCCTCATCATTGGTATCAGTGGGAGGAATAGTGCCCCATCATTGGTGTCAGAGCGAGGAATCGTGCCCCATCATTGGTGTCAGTGGGGGGAATAGTGCCCCATCATTGGTGTCAGAGCGAAGAATCGTGCCCCATCATTGGTGTCAGTGGAAGGAATAGCACCCCATCATTGGAATACCATACTGAAATCAAATCTGATGTTTTTTCATTTTTATTTGGTGTGCGTTGGAAGAGGGGTAGTCTTATACGGCGAGTATAGCTCAAACCCTATATTTTAACAGGAAAAGTAGGGGGTCGTCTTATATGCCCAGTCGTCTTATACGCCGGAAAATATGGTATTTCCATGCAAAAAAATGTACCGCTTTCAGCACAGAAATACGGACATAATCAGACCGCTAGGGAGGTTAAGGAAACTTTTCTGTGTTTTGCAAGCTCTGTGATGCCCCCTAACCACACTGATGAATTAAAAGGCGTAATAGCAGCACATATAGTATGCCACAGCAAAACATGGGGACAATAGTGGTGTGGTCTGATGGTAACAAACCTTCAGGGTGTTAAATTATAGCAATAGAGTCCTGTTAGCAAACAGCCCTTATTTGATAATAAGTGGGCAACAAAAATATGAAAATCTTGGGAACAAACGGGCAACCAGTACAATACATGTCAACAGATGGGGCAATCTTTACAATAATCCATGTTTATTATAATATCCAATGCCAGAGTCCTAGCCAATGAGAGGCCATATTTTAGCTCACATTCAGGTCCAGGGTTGTTAAAGGTGTTTCCCAAACCTTCAGGAGCCATTTAAAACATATTGCACCCTTAAAAGCCACCTTAAGTTTAGCTAAAATGCCTTGATTTTACACCAACATTTTAGCAAAGTGAAAACTCCTAATGCAAATACCTACATGATGAAACACGAACATTTACAGAACTGCATTCTCTTGTTTGTACACTTGGTGGCACTGTGGAATCATTTACAGATACACCTCACTGAATGACCAAGTTTCATTCCAAGGACTAGGTTGGTAAGTGAAATGGTCGTTAAGTAAGGAACTGTATACAGTATATACATTGCAATATTCTGAATAAGGAAAATGTTCAAAAATAGACTTTGATGGAACATCAAACTACAGTACTGTACAGCACAGTTGTACTGTACAATCGTCCATTTGTACAGTAAGCATGAGCGGTCTCAACACCAGAGAGCCAGTCGTAACCCGAGCAGTTGGTAAACTGGCCGTTAAGCGAGGAGAGTCTCTACTTTGAGCACATTCTACACCACTATAAATATTTTGTATTTCAAAGCAGAATTTAAAAAATTAACTCAGTTAACTTTTATGTCATTTTATATTTTTTATCAGATTAGAGGATTCTTGTCAAGGTTTGACAACGTTTTGCCAGTCAGCCTCGCATTTGACAAGTGTACAGCCTGTTCTCCAAAGGTAACGAACAGTTTTTCTCTCTCGCGCGCACGCGCACACCCTCTTTTCTCTCGCGCACGCTCTCTCTCTCTTGCGCTCTCTCTCTCATATATATATATATAATCTCCTCTCTATATCGCTATAATCGCTATCCTCTCTATATCGCTATCTCTCTATATCGCTATATCTCTCTATATCGCTATCTCTCTATATCGCTATCTCTCTATATCTCTCTCCCCTCTCTATCTCTCTCCCCTCTCTATCTCTCTGTCTCTCTCCCCTCTCTATCTCTCTGTCTCTCTCCCCTCTCTATCTCTCTCCCCTCTGTATATCTCTCTCTCCCCTCTCTATAGCTCTCTCTCTCCTCTCTATAGCTCTCTCTCCTCTCTATATCTCTCTCCCCTCTCTATATCTCTCTCCCCTCTCTATATCTCTCTCCCCTCTCTATATCTCTCTCTCCCCTCTCTTATATCTCTCTCTCTCCTCTCTATATCTCTCTCTCCCCTCTCTATATCTCTCTCCCCTCTCTATATCTCTCTCTCCCCTCTCTTTATCTCTCTCTCTCCTCTCTATATCTCTCTCTCCCTCTCTTTATCTCTCTCTCTCTCTCTTATATCTTCTCTCTCTCCTCTCTATATCTCTCTCTCTCCTCTCTATATCTCTCTCTCTCCTCTCTATATTCTCTCTCCCCTCTCTATATCTCTCTCTCTATCC